ATGTGTTTGAGAAAGGAGCTGGGATAATGGTTACCAGTTGGAAACCTTTTCTCCACAGTGCGCAGGCAAGCAGGATTTCAGCCAAGAGCATTTGTTAACTTCCAAGGTTTATGATATAAAATATTTTGAACTTCAGCACATATATCCCATTACACTTCTTTGGCTGCTAGGACTATTTATTTGCATTGCTTTAGAATTCACTGCATTGTCCTAAGTAAACCCCAGATGGCATTTCCTTTTTAAATGTCAAGTGTTCCCTGACAATAAATCGGTTCCCAGACAGTTTAACAAGGTAGCTAACTTAGCTTTTTCTTTAACAAGCTATGTGGATAAATCAACATTTAATTGATATGAAAGATGGTTTATATTAAGTAGAAAAAGGACCTCAGCCTCTCTGAGCTTTTCTCCTGAATGCAGGGACCCATATGAGCCTCGCCTTCCTGTCGTAGAACATCTAAATGCAGTGCACTGTATTCCCTGTAACTGGTCACCTACTTGTTCTTGTGACAGATGGTAAGATGTCAACATTAGCTAAAACCAAATTTCACCAAAATTTAAATGACCCTTTCAAAGTTCCTAGGATCTCATTTATTTTGTTTGCATAGATTCAAATTTGATTTTTTTAAAAAAGATGTTCTCTCCAAGCTATCTGATACTCAATTGTAAATACAGTTTAAGGTTAGACAAAGAACTCTGGTATGAGACTGGGGTCAACTTCCTGTTCCAACATTTATTAGTTTTCTACCCTTGGGGAAGTTACTTACCCTCTCCAACTCTCATTGTCTTCTAAAAAATAAGAATAATGATAGTGTCTACTACGTAGGCTTGTAAGGATTATATGAAACATTCCACTAAAGCAATTAGCACTCACTGCCTGGTACACAACAAGCAATATATTAATGTAGCTATAATTAAAGGATAAGGTAGGAGAGTGACTCCTTAGTATTTAGCCCTTTTGTGGGCATTTACAATGGCAGGTGACTCACAAGTTTTCTGGGAATCTTGTATTCTTTACTGCATGAGTTATATTGAGTGAGCTGAAGAGTGGCGTGTGTTCTCATAGGTTGACCAGTCTGAATGTTCCATGTGAAATATTAATTATGTCATTGCTAGATGACGCCGTCCTTCAGTCAGTTTGAATGATGTGTTCGCTGAGTACATGGGGTAGTTTTGGTGCATTTGTTTACGCACATACACCCACTTAAGAAGATCAAGGCATTATTTCTGCATTAGACTTAACCAGCTGGAAAAAGAAGAACGAAACTTGAGGGGATGGGCACTATAGCTATTATTTCTTCTTAGTTTGAAAAATGAAAGATAGCAATAAGACAGTGTGGGTGGGTGAAACTGGAAATCTGTAAAAGAATGAGTCTATTGAAGTGGAAGCAGATGAATTCTGTTATCAGAGGCACTGAGACAAAGCTGTGGGAGGCCAGGTTTAATCTGTGTAAGAAAGAAGTTCCCCAAATCAGAGCTCCAAGGATCCAAGGATGTCCTGGAAACAAGTGTGCTCTCTTCCACAGGGCAGGTCCTGAGTGAGGTATAAGGTTTCTACTCTTTAAGACTTCTGGAAGTTATTAGAGACGTTCATTGGCAATAATTCACAGGGGGCAAAAACCCACTCCATTTTTAGCCTATATTTCATTTTAAAAAGAAAAATAAGAGAAAGCTTTCTGCTCTACTGAAAATACATTAACATAACAAGACATTAAATTTGAAGTTTTTAGACTGGGCATGGTGGTACATGCTTGAAGTTCCAGTAGTCTGGGAGGCTGACACAGGAGGATCGTAAGTCCCAGCCCAGCCCGAGCAATTTAGCAACTTAGTGAGCCCATGTCTCAAAATGAAAATTTAAAAAGCGGGATGAGGGTGTAGCTTAGTTTTAAGGCCCCGGGTTGAATGCCCAGAACCAGCAAAAAAAAAAAAAAAGGTTGAAGCTTCACTTAAGAAATCCCACATAGGAGCTATTTCACACTGAAATGAGATTGCAGATTAAAACAAGAGCTCACAAAGAGAATAGTAACAAATGACTCCCTCAGTTCTTAAACTCTCAGCCAGGTTCAGGTAACTAACGTGGCTCAGAGTATGGAAAAAAGGCAGGATCTTACATGGAGGGATCCTAGCGTGCAAAAGATATTTGTGTTTGGAGTTGGTGGAGCGGAGGGGCTCTGTCCCTTCACTTCAGGCTATGCAGAAGAATTTCAAAGTGGCTTCTTAGAGAACGTGATAGGAGATGCCTGCATGAGGACAGAGGGAGGTCAGTGTACCCTGGGATCTGACACCCTCTCAGGAGATCCGGAAGGACAGAGACAGGCTGACAAACTGTTTTGGCAAAAATCCAGGAAACATGCTGCCCTGGGCCCAGGGAAAGCAGTGTGAGTGTTCCACCACGGTCCAGGCTAGGCCAGGAAGAACAGAAAGCTGAGCGAAGTCATCTCGGGGCCTCTCCCAGAGGGGAAAGGGGATCCTAGTCACACTTAAGTAGGCAGCTTGGAGCACAGCTCACAGTCATGAGTGCCCCTGGGGTAGGGACAAATGGATAGGAATCAAAGGCTCAGCAGTCCATGAAAACACTCCTCTTTGGGACTGCCTGGCCTGACACTGAGAGGCCAGAAGACGGGGTTACCAAATCAAGTAAAACCACTCATTTTAATTCTTCACCATCCTTGCTCTGCAGTCCCAGAGTGCAGAGTTAGCAAGCTGGATGAGGAAGGGAGAGGAAAGAGCCAAAAAGCCACACTCCTCTCCTCCCAGAAGGCACATGATCCTTCTGAAAGAGGCCCAGCCCGGAAGGACAGGAGCTTTCATTTTAAGTTGAAATTGGAGGTTGTCAGTACAGGACATGGAACCTTATGTTTCAAAATAGGGACCAGTGTGGGTAACTTAAGGTAACTATAGAACTATTCCTAAAGTTAAATAGAGTGTCACAGGATTTGCTAAATTTTCCTCCAGTGACAATGGAAAAACTTCTTTCACTATATAAAATTTAAACGATAGTAGGAGACAGAAAGAAGCAATTTGATGGTAGGTCCTAGGCATAGCCAATTTAGCATCTAAAATACTGCTCTCATATTAAAGATTATAATTCCTTTGATAATAATATAGACCAAGCACTTTGGGACTGAGGTGGACAGAGGAAATAGCCCCAAAGAACAAGACATAACAGTTGCTTTTGGGGAAAAAATGTTAAAATGAGGGGTTTGGGTGCAGGCAGAGACTAGACGCCTGCAGTATTTTCGGCACACACAGAAACAACTATGTACCTCCAGAATGATTTATTTATTTCACAGTTGACTCTCCAGCCTAAGGTAATTTATAGTTTCACACTGTATTGTTAGTACCCGAAGGACCGTGGAGGCGTGTGAGCTGGCTGAGGAAAATGTAGAACAGCAAGTTGTTTAGTTCACGACTAACAGTTTTTGTTTGTTCCCCTCTTCCACAGGCAAGGACAAAGGAGAGACACATACATATATTACTAGAGACCTTTCTCTCTGTCACACCCAAACTTAATATTTCTCACAGTTTAGAAAACTCCCTATGTTTTTTTTATGTCAAGTTAGGTAAAAAGTCTTTTCTCTATGATTCACTGATTTGCTATTGGAGAGCTAAAAATAACAGTGTATTGTATGCTTCTTGAGAGTAGGGGCTTTTTTACCTTTGTATCCGTAACTCACAGAAGAGTGCCTGGGAGTATTAAGGGTTCATTAAAAATTTTATTTATAAGATTAAGAAGCCGAAGCCTAAATAATGTGAAATATAAACCAAGGCCTTAAAGGTGAGTAAGTCACCCACCAAAACACTTTCCTCACCAACTATATAGGAAAGAGGATTTATGACTAATTCTGGATTAAAAGAGAGAGATAATGAAACAAATTTTTTCTAGGATTCCACCATTATAGGAAAGTTCTAATGATTAAAAAGAAAGAACTAGGATCCATTATATTGACCCCTTACTTCTTCATACTCACCAAAAATGAACCATTTACCTTTGTGTGCCTAGTGGAAGAAAAGGAAAATTAAATCTGAACTCTTTTACCCAAATCAAAGTGCTACTATTCACTTTACAGTTAAGAACTTTACTAAGAAAGAAAAGCTGTTGAAACTGTTTTTGAGATTTGAACACACATTTTTAGGCATGGTCTTTCATTTGAGAAACACAATGTTTTGATACTTTCAACGCTGACCCATTTCCCCAGGTGTCCCCTTGTGACTTTTTGCCAGGAGTTTGTCTGAGGAGTTTGTCTAAGGAGTTTGTCCTGCAAGCAGGAAAGTATGAGAAAATAATGCAGATAGACAGTCATTAGGGTTTGCTGGGAAAGTGTGAGAAGTGCAAGGAAAGAACATGAGGGCTCTCAACAGATGGTGCTGCTGTGAATTAGACAAGTGGAACATTTAGTCTCCTCAGAGACTAGGGCAGGGTACTGCACTTGGGAAATAAACACCTATGTGATCCCCCTCAAATAAATAGATTTTGAAAGAATGATGGTCAGTCATTCCATCCTTTCAGTAACATTAACTACCTCTGAGGAGCTCTTGTTCAGTTTTGATATATTCAGTGGACTGAAATGAGATAATAGAAAAGTAAAAGGTTGAATAGTTTACTCGTTTCTGGGATTATCAATATGTCTTGTTTACTTTGCATCAGGAAAACAGGCCTGGAATGAGAGTGGGCTGTGAAGGTCGGTTGTGAATACATGGAGGGCAGGTGGAAGCGGTGATGAGGGCCCTGCCTTGGGGGTTATGCCGGGAAAGATGGCAGCAACTGTAGCTGCAGGATTAGAGAAGGAGAACAATGAGGAAGCTGAGAGAGGGCTGTGCTAGTCAAGCAGGAGACCAGAGCTAAGAAGACGCGAAGCTGAGACAGCCTGTTTGGCTTTAGGACTAAATATTGTGAGGCTTTGATTTTTGTAGTGCTTGCTAATGGTGCCGTGAATACTTCGGAATAGTAATCAGTACAGACTGAAATTAATAAGATATATGAACATTTTCACTATTTTTAGGAGAGTGGGCGTTCCTTGTCTCTTCCCGGAAGACCAGTCCTACCCATCATGTCTTCAACATCTCCTTGGGTGTACCAGCCTGCTTCTAATTACCCCAGCAAACCAGCAGATGGGCTGGAGAAAGCAAGCAGAAGACCAACACCGTGGGAAGCGGCAGCAAAGTCTCCCTTTGGTCTAGTGGATGATGCCTTCAGACCCAGGAACATCCAAGAGTCCATTGTGGCAAATGTGGTCTCAGCAGCTCGGAGAAAGGTGCTTCGGGGGCCCCCAGAGGATTGGAATGAGAAACTGTCCTATGTTCCTCAAACACAGAAGGCCAACATGGACTCATTTGAAAGGCAAGAGTATCATGTTACCTCTGTAGCCAATAATAGCATGCCCACCAACTCTCAATATGGTTCACAGTTGCCATATGCATATCACAGGCAGGCTTCTAGAAATGATTCTGAAATAATGTCCTTGGAGACCAGGTCTGATTACTGCCTTCCCGTAGCTGATTGCAACTATAACCCACACCCCAGGGGATGGAGGCGCCAAACATGAAAGTAAGAACTAATTGTGTGACAACTATGGTTTTTTTTACTGCTCCTTTGTAGACATTTCTACCTTTCTAATAGATCTAGATTCACTTTTGGTCTTGGCTGGTTCTCATGGGTCATGTGTCTGGGTCTATGTGTGTATTTATGTGTATGCACACACAAGCATGAACAACTTCCTTATCTGCAGATGCATAAAGTATTTCTTTGAAGAAAAAATTTATTTTCTGCATTGATAGTCTGATATATGTAATTCAAAATCTTAATTCCATTTATAAGGGATGGCTTATGCAACCAATCTATGCTCAGTAAAAGTGAAACTATTTGCCGTATCCCAGGAGTAAATTAATAAAATATGTGTGTTAATTAACATTAGCTATAATAGCGAGGACTTTAACATTAGAGACATTTTTAATGAGAATATGCCAATAAGTAATGGTTATATTAAAAAGTACTTCGTGGTGTTAAGTATTTCTCTGAAACAGTTTTAAAGTTAACAACATTCAGATATTTTTAAATAACTGAAATATAAAAGTTCTTAGAAAGAAATGTGGGAGAGTAAAATTATTAGACATTTCAGATGGACTTTTGCAGTAAATGGTGTAAAGTGTGGGAAACAGAAAGATTTACGTGCAGGGTTTATTTCTAATCTGTTTAAAGCCAGCAGACAGGAATAGACTCTGGGTTCAGTTGTTCTTATTCGTCAAATGAGAAGATCAGAGAATCTAATCTCTTAGACCCTTAACAACTCTGATATTCTGAGATTCTCTCATGAGTAGAATGGGTTTTTATGCATTATTCATTTTAGTTGCTCATCATATAAATATCAGATTAAGTTTAGGGGTGGATTAGATAATTAGTGTTAATACACGCATCATTAAAGATCCCAAAAGGAATTTGTGGATGACAGGATTTGGGTTACGTGTTTGGGGAGTGAGGGTTGATGTGAAGGAAAAAAAACTACTGATGGATTTAAGGAAGTGGTAAATGAATATGCCTGCTATTATGCAACTGTAAGTCATCACCATTTCTTTGGTTCCCAAAACATGCCACAGAAGCCTATGCAACAAGTGGTACTTCTCTAGAAATTTGCCATGAGGATGTTCAAAAGAAGTTAGACAGCTGCTTCACCCATACCATGACCCAGGCCTTAGCAGCATGACCGTGAACCATCACCTCACACACCTGCTCCTCCCCATCACACCCACACAGTGTAATGTACCAGGAAACCTGAGGTAGAGTACATCATAAGCAAGTACCTAGAATATTTTTAAAGTGTTCTTGAGTATTCAGAACTTCCTTAGCTTTTTAGATGTGATAACTTTGCTTTGTTTTAGTTTTTCACTCTTGAACTTATCATGATGGTCTCATATGATGATGGTCACTTTTACATAATAAAACTTAAAAAAGAATGCCAGTGTAAAAATGATCCCTTACATTGGAAATAAAAAAATAAATTGAAGAAACACACAGTAAGTTGTATCAGTGGTAGAACTTGCCAGATACTAATTTGTTCATTTATGCAGAAAATAGAAGATGAATACTTTCTGAAGTTTTATTGTTATCTTAAACTGATACAGTGTTAATTCTCTCAAAGCATAATTATTGGCTCCCAACAGTTTTTGAGGAATTAAAAAATAACATCTGATGTAGATATATGGATTAATTTGTCAGCAAATTTTCCAGACGGCCTACCACAAAATCCTTACTTAATTTAAAATTATTATAGTGGCTGGATCATTCTGGATTTGAGTGTTTTAAAAGAAGACGAGTTTAGCAGAAAAGACTTTACTTGCTCTGAACATATTCTATTGTGTTGCTTTCTAAGTGCTAGGCTTTATTTACATCTATTGATATACATTATATTATTTACTAAAATTCACTACACTCAAAACAGAGAGAAGCAGATTTTTTAAAACTGAGGTATTATAGCCTTCTCCCTCTTTGCTTGCACTACAGCAGAGTTATCATTTGTACTGAGCTCTCTAAATTTATTCTCAAGCTGGGCATGGTGGCACACACCTGTAATCCCAGCAATGAGGAGGCTGAAGCAAGTGGAATGCTGTAAGTTCGAGGCCAGCCTGGACTACAAAGTGAGTTCAAGGCCAGCCTGAACTGCGTGGTGAAACCTTGTCTCCAAAAAAATAAATAAATAAAAACAAACAAACAAATAAATAAATTTATTCTAAACATAGAGAAAAAGACAATAAGTGGCAGGAAAGATGCACATGTTTCACTTATAAGGATTCAAACATCCCATCTTTTTTATTAGAAATCAGTGCTCCAAAAGGTCCTACTTCAGCAGGACCTGGTGGCACACACCTCTAATCCCAGCTACTCCAGGGGTTGAGGCAGGAGGATTGTAAATTGGACCCCAGCCTGGGCTACTTAGCAAGACCATGTCTCAAAATTTTAAAAGTAAGGAAAATTTAAAGGGCCGAGGGTATAGCTCAGTGTAGAGAGCCCATAGCTTCAATCCCTAGTACCACCAGCTCCACCACCATCCAAAAAAGAAAGAAAGAAAAAGAAAAAAACAGTAGCTCTACAGATAATAGTTCTGAAAGCAAATGTGTGATTCTCAAGTCATCACAAATGCTCACATATAACCTAATGGTTGAGGCAGGACCCCTCCCACACTGAGATCCAATTCTCGTGGGTGAGAAGGTTTAGATAACTATTGTTCTCAGAAAATAAGATGAATTGTCTCTTCTTGCCAATGCTAGTGCTTGCAGAGAAGAGCTGATACTTTGTAAATTCATACTACATTTGTTGTAAGACATCTTTCAGTGAGTAGCAATCACATAGGTGGCAAGAATTTGTCTTTAACTGTGTATTCAAAAAACTCTAAAAGTAGAGTATGTCAGTCACAGAGACACTAATTTGGCATTTTCCCTGCATCTTGAGTTTAAATATATCATTACATGTGTGTAAAGTGTCTGTTTTTCTGGTGAATTAACATTTGTTCTGTATTTTGAGTTTTATAAGTGCACAGTTTCTAGTCTACCATTTTTGAATGTATTTCTTAGTTTTGGCACCACCACATACACCGGATGGGGCTTAACAATATGAAGGTACACAATGATTTAAAGCTTTGGATAAAAATGGCATCAAATAGCGATAATAAACAGGAATTACAGGGATGTTTAATTTTAAAGAAAAAGTAGATTTCCACACTTGACTCTATTCAAGCTAGAAGTAACTACACTGTTCACACATTTTTATTTAAAAGAAGACTGTGTTCTCTTGTTAATTAGATTGGCATTTGCACCTCTTTTTATCCCAAAAGACTGTATTTGAAAGATTGTACTGAAAATCAAAATTACATTAGTAATAAATGTAACTTGAAAATCAGGTTGAGGATTGTATTGTTCCTTATGAAACTGTTTATTCAAAAGACTTTTTCCTATTACATGTTCTTAAATTTTATTTTCCATAATAACTTCCAGATAAATCAAAGGATTTCAGAATGCATGGCAACTTCTAAGCTGTTTTGTTAAAGATGAGAACGATTCAGTGATATCGTTAAAGCGTGGTGAGGAAGACCGTTCAGGACCATCCAGAGAGGTCTAAACACCACTGTAGAGGGTCCTCAGTGAGGGAAGAAGATTGGGCTCAATTCCAGTACAACACGGGCAAGGGAGAATTCACAGCAAGGAGCAGGGTGGGGCTAAGTAGAGGGAAAATTACCAAGAGCACGTGGTGGGGAGCTCAGGGAAATGCCAGCAAAACCCACCTAACCGGATTCCTGCTGAGGACAGGCCAGAGCCACCAGATGGGGGATGAAGGCCCGAGCAGATATCAAGAGTGAGGGATTTCTGCAGGGATCTTTGTGAAAACCGGATTTTACAAGAAAAAGAACAGTGACCCTAACAGAATATTCAGAAGCCAGATAAACGTTTTGCCAAGCAGAGAATCTTTGTCACTGTAATGTTTAAAGGCTTCTTTATAACTGTCCTGGAATTACAATCCTTCCCGTTTCACATGGAAGTCAAGAAGTTTGGGATGCAAACATATTTTGACCTTATTCTTAACTAAACCTTTCCTTAATGGTAAATCAGAAATCCATCCGAAGCAGGAGCGCGTGATCTGACAGCACGCTGGGCGGGCGTCGAGGGCCGCTCCGGGCTCCTCTGTCATTTACAGCGCTGCTCAGCTCTCAGCATTTCCTGCTTTGTCCTCTTTAGGCTGGCCCACGGCTGACCTCTGAATGCCAGGAGCCTTCCTTTTAAGTAAAGCTCTTTTAAAAATGACTTTGGCTCTTTCTAGAGACTATTAAAATATGAGCTGGAGTGTGAGCTTCTCATGGTCTACTGATAACATATAGCACAACTTTTCAACACTTTCTTCTTGGTAAATTCTAAGTAAAAGGGGTATTTTTGGTATTCTGATAAGAATGTTTTTGTAAAGGGCTAGCATTTGAAAACACACTTCAAGAATAAATAACGTTTTAAAAACTTAAATGACTTCATACGGTGCTAGGGCTGGAGGTAGAACTCAGTGAAACAGCACCTGCCTAGCATGCTGGGGGCCCTCAGTGGGAACCCCAACATTGCAAAAGCAAGGCGAGACAGAGACAGAGACAGAGAGAAGAGAGTATCAGACTGTTTTAGGAGGTTAATGCTAAATTCCTAGTACTTTGTAAACTATAAATTTCAAAACACACTAAAAGATAGGTAGTGTCACGTGGAGCCAACAGGTAGCTGGAGGTAAGGAAAATTCAATTCCCTGCCCAAGAAGATAGCAACAGAACCACTCTTAGACTAGCCAGGTTGTCCCTGATCTGTTAGTACAAAGCACTTCCTTCTCAGCGGCTTGGGCAAATCACAAGATCTGTGACTTCCCCAATAAGACAATACTAATGAAACAACACTTTCATGAAGGGCATTTCATTATTTGTAAGTTTATAAAACATGACAATTTATATTTCTACAAAGGATCTGGCAATCCCTGCCCCCTTATAAAAATGAAACAATTTTGTGAAGATCATTTAAAGAGAAAATGCCTCCAATGTGTCTTGCTCTGATTTTTTTTCTCTTTGCAGCTGTAGTGGAGAGTTGCTTTACTATACTTTTCTTCTCCTGTCAACTTTCTCCATAAACTTTCCTCCATCCTTCCTCTCCTTCCACCAAAAAAGAGGAAAAAGCTTTACTCATCTCCATAGCACATTGCAATTAATATTCCTTACCTGGGTCTGAAAAAGCTTTACAAAGCAGAACCACCTCACCTTGATGATTTGAGTAAGTGTGAGGTGGCCCTAAATTACCAAATACATTATAATAGGTTTATGTAGGCAAAGGCATAACCTTACAGCCAAATTCCCCCTGTAGAACCTGGTCTATATTACTGTGAACAAACAGGGGTAGAGATAGGATTTCCTGTACAGACCCTCTTCATTGTCACATTTGCTACCAATATTTTTCATGACAACTCTAAGGGTATTCTTCAAGGCTCTTTCTTCCAAACAGGGACATTTTCAGGTGCCTGTATCGGAAAGTAGCATGCCATCCTTTGTACCGCTCAGAACAAGAGTGGTTCCCTTTGATGGAGCAATCACTGGGTGCTCCCGTGGGTGGAGCAACCATTTATAAAGCAACACAGAAAACCCAGACACAGGAGCTTTGCAGAAGCTTTGTAGCACCTAGGGCTGATCCCTGACCCATCAGGACTGGCCTCATTTCAAGAGGGTGGCTTGGTTGTTTTTCTTGTTGATCTACATGTCATTCATACCACAGCTTTCTGCAATACTAAGACAAAAGACAAAGAAAAAGAATTTTAAAATAAATAATGAATGGATGGGTATTTTTCCAAAACTTGTCACTGCAGATTCAGAAAGCTGTGATAGTTTCCCCTACCCATCCTAAGGGTCATAGATGTTGTTCCTATAGTAAAAGGCAGGTTAATAAAAGAAAAGCTTAAAAATTACTGAATCAAAGTTTCATATGACATGGATTATTTTAAAAATGAAGTCCCAAAGACCCAGGAAATCTGTCGATTTTTATGTTAAGTTTGATGATGAATGAACAGCCACACAAAAGGGTGTGATCTAATGGTAACAGACCAATAGGGTGTGGTCCTGGCAAGGCCATATGCCCATGTTCCTTTTGGCCCTCTGTGTGGCATTTCTTCCTCTCAGGAATGGGGCAGGGCCTGCTAAAACAAGTTCCCAGGGGAGAAAGGCAAGAGTAGCCTTTCGAGCTCTTAGGACTTGTCTGGGGACAGAGGGTTTATGGTTTCTATGACTTGGATCCAAGAAGAGGAATTCTGGTTTTTAGGACTCCCTTCTTGGGAGAAAGAATAATGGGAGACAGAAGAGTAGGAAAAGGTCAGAGGGAGATCTGGCTTCGGAGGCTTTTCCAATTTCCTTCAGTTCAAAGTACTCACATACCAAGACACTGTACTTTGGAATATCATGTTCTAAGCTCTGATATTATTATTTGAATTTTTTTCCTTTTTTTTTTTTTTGGTGCCAATTATAGTCCCGTTTTCCCTCGAATTCAGATGATCTTTCTCTGGTTTCTACTTGCAGTGTATCCAACTTGCCTCCTATGAGTTGGACATGCCTTGTTATAATAAAAACATTTAAAAATATAGGAAGTCTTGTTACTTATATACATTTACTATCTTGTATATTTTATATGTGGCCCAAGACAACTCCCCTTCACTCAGAGTGACCTAGGTAAGACAGGCATGTGTAAACTGTGAGCATAGGTCAGACATTCTGTAGTAACCTTGGCTGTGACCTTGCTTATGATTTATTGAAGTTGATACTTTCTAAAGTGCTAAGCAGAGAAAAAATAAGCCTGATGTACCACCTAAATTTAATGCAAAGCTAAACCAAACTCGAAGTCCAGCATGAGAATGGTAAGGAAGACAAACAAAAACACAGGGCAGTGGTTTCACAACCCACAGTGATTTCTGGAAACTCAATTGGCTCTTGATAATAAGCAACACATTTAAATGAACAATGCATTTTAATTCCTCATTTTGCATAAAAAGGAAGTTGTTGAATATAAGAATTCATTGTTTGAGGTCTCAAATGCTATTGTATAGAAAAAAGTCAGAACTATGGGCAAA